CTTATTAATTATTTGGAGTTAAACCATAAGAATTTTGTCCCTCGTGAATATCGTAGTCCCAACGTCGATGCCCTACTTTTGACTGGGCAAAAAATGAGATTAGTTGAAATATGCGTAAATTAAGCCAGACACTCCTGACCATTGAAAAAAAAAGAAAAAAATGACGGTGGTTATCATAGAATAAGGGTAATATAAATTTGGATCAAAATATATGGGGACAAATTGGTCTACGAAAAAGTGTGAAGTGTTTTTCAATTTTAAGTGTGTAGAAAAAAAAAAGGGGGGCAAATTACACAAAGTCTCATTAAATTTAGAGTTAGTTGCACATCACCCCCATAAACTATTACAAATTACACTTAACCCTCTTATACTCACAACAAAAGTGTAAAAATAACCGATTTCATCTTGTTTAATGGAGCTTGAAACACACGCACTACACAAAGTATGTGAAATAATTACTTTATAAAATAATAATAATAATAAACAATATACCCTCAAATAAACTTATTAAAAAAAATTATAATTGGTAGTTGTCTCTTTTTACAGCTTGCTCTCTCTTCCCCTCCGCCTCCCCCGCCCTTAATGCATATGCAAATCCTAATCGCCGAATCACCAGACCTTAGATAGAAATGCCCTCGCACTATCCTCTAACTCTGGCGCACACCACCCTCCTTGTCATGGTGGAAGACAACCCAAATATCACCGTTTTTGACACTACCAAATTTGCAAAATTTCGATTTCAAAAATTGGTTCATTTGAATTCAGGGGGCTTGGAAGATGAGATTTTCCATGGGTCTGATTGTTGTACTGTTTTTGAATTTTTTATGTTAAAGGTTGAAGGTTAAGGGTTGAGTGGTGATGGGTGGATGTTGGAATTACTAGATTGTTGCAAGTGGTGCCTTAATGTGGCAGTAGGAGGCATGGGTGATGTTCAAAATTTTTTGAGAAATGAATGGGAAGTAATATTTTAAGTTTTTTATTCAACTAAATTTAGGGGATTTGAAGTCTGAAAATTACGAGGGTTTCATTAATTTGGTTTTATTGTTATCTTGTGTGTTTTGAATATTGATAATGAGTAGCTGAGTGGTGCTGGGTGAAAGTTGGAATTGTTAGGTTATGGCAACTGGGCGTGTGTAATTGTTTGCTTATTTATCGGTGGTTTGTTTAGGTGTTAAGTTGTTGGAGTGGGAGGCATTACAAATGAAAGGTATTTTAACAATTTACACTTCATTCACAAGTAAGAGGGGTTAAGTGCAATTCGCAATTGTTGAAAGAGGTGATATGTAATTTACCCATAAAAAAGGAAAAAAAAAGACAAGATAGGCTGAAAAATCAAGACATTATTAAAAAAGAAAATACCTCAAGACCCTCAAAGTTTATCATTTAAACATTCAGACCCTTTAATATTTGAAATATTATACACAAATTCCCTGAAATTTTTACGCGCGTAATACTTAAACTCTACCATCAAATGTAGGTTAGGATATCCGTTAGTAAATTATACATAAACCCTCTAAAATTTATAGGTGTATAATACTTAGATTCTTTAAGTTTAAAATATTATATTGTATCATTTCTTGAAATAAAATCAAATATAAAAAGCTATTTTTTTAAAATCATAATTAGTATACAATTATACCATCTATTAGAATAAAATTAAAAAAATCAAACAAGGAGTCTAAGCCATTTATAATAGAACATGAATTTTACAACCAAAATTCATGTTCTATTATGTTATTTATTGAAATAAAATTAAAATTAAAAATCTAATTTTTCTTAAAAAAATTTAATTAGTATATAATTATATTATCTATTGGAATAAAACTAAAAAATCAAATAAGAGATCAAATTGTAATGAATACAATATATTATAGCTTAAATCAAACAAGGGGTCAAACTCTAATGGACACAATATATTCTAACTTTAATTGAGATAATTTGATAGTTTAATTTGTGTGATGACCAGTATATAAATTAATCATTTAATTAGGTCATCAATTATGATTCTATATAATTAAAGGTTATTTTTAAAAAAAATTAAATAAATAAATTGACTCTTTATGTAAAAACAAGTCAAATTATTATAATTTAGGTCAAGTTTCATAATAAGATAATGAATAAATATATATATATATATATATATATATATATATATATATATATATATATAATGAATAAATATATATGTGTTGTGTAAGTGTTAGACAACAAGTGAGCAAATGGAAAATATGCAAGAGAAAGAAAAAAAAAGAGGAAGAAAACATGGACAAGTGTCCATGTGATGCTTGGAGACCAAGCAAAACTTGGTTATAAATAGCCAAGTCCAGGCTATTTGAATGCCACAACACAAAAGGAAAAAGAAAGAGAAAGAGAGAGAGAAGGGAAAAGAAGAAGGAGAGAGAGAGAGAAAGAGAGAGATAGATAGACGAAATAGAAGAAAAAAATTTATGAGATCTTGGGGTCAAAAATTGAGCAGTCATTGATGGATTTGAGATTATTATTAAATTTGACTATTTGATTTGGGGTATTTCGAATTTCGCATCTATTGAAGTCATTGATGGATTTGAGATACGGGATAGTATACAATATGCTCTTGTTTTCTGAATCTCTTTGCAAATGGTGTCCTTTCATTATCTAAAATTTTGTAATCTTACTGATTATTCTAATTTATATGAAGTTCTGTCAATATTATCGATTGACCTGTACGTATACGTTGGGCTAAATACTTTGGGATTGATTGATACATGTACGAAGTGTACTTAGGGGTATAATTGGTGAAATGTGATTATGGTCATGTGAGGTGCAATTGTGATTACAGCCCTGAGAGGTGTAATGATTCGACATGAATATGAATTTTAAATGCCCAGGTGTCACTTGTCATATTATCAAGAGGACCTAAGTATGAGACTAGGTTTAATAGATATTGAGCTATGTGACTTATCGAATTGGATTCTAGATAATTTATCTATAATCGTCTATCGATTGAATTATTTGGTATTTGATCATTCATATTCTTTTTTCGTTGAACATATTGTTTCCTGTCATATTGTATACTTCCCCGCCTTTAATATTTTTTTCAGGATTATCTCGTAGAGAAGGACCAGAGTTGATATTTGAGGAATCGAAGACAAATGAATCATGATATAATTTTTTTAACTTTGTATAATGAGAAGATTATTTTTATTATTTGGAGATCAAAATTGTGATTATAAATTTATTGAGACAAATAGAGCTCTAACCCTATAATCGGAGATTTATTTGTGGTTTATTATTGATCGATCGATTTAATCAAGTGACGCATTCCGAAAATCGGGGTGTTACAATTTGGTCGTTTAAACGACAAAATTAAATTTCAATAGATAGTATAATTATATACTAATTATAATTTTTTAAGAAAAAAATAGATTTTTATTGTTAATTTTATTTCAATAAATGTTATAATATAATACGAATTTTGGTTATAAAATTTAAAATATTTGATGTTCTATCTTTGATTGAAATATTTTTGTTTAAGTATAAAATTTTAAACTTGAAGAATCTAAGGGGTTGTTTGGTAACATTTTTTTTTTCGCGTCTTCAAAAAAATTAAAAACAGAGACAATTTTTGTCTCTGTTTTGTGGTAAATACTGAAAGAGTAAATATGTTTTTGAGTTTTTTTTATCTATCAAATTATGAGAATAAAAACAAAAAAACATGTTTGATAACTATTTCAAGTTTTATCGTAAATATGTTTTATAATATTTCATACAAATCAACCGGTGTGAAGCATAAAAAATCTGCAAGAGCATTAGCCTCGCTATAGATATGACTAATCCTGATTTTTTTTTTTTAAGAAAAATAAAATTTTATTTGCACACAAAATCCAAAACTTACAAGAAGCAAAAGGAGGATCACAGATGACCTCCTATTCCAGAACTTGAACAAAACAACAAAACCAAACCAAAAAAATACAAGCCAGCTTTTAAACAGAAACAAAAGAAACAAAACAGGTCATTTCCAAAGCAGCAACACTCCTTCATACAAATCACAGCCCTATACTCAGCCAAACCCAACCTCATTTATCCTTGATCATCATAAACCAAAACTCTCCTATTTCTTAAAACAGGAAAATCTCTAAGATCTTGAGCAATCGCCAAAAAAATCCTAATAAATCAGGTGACAAAAAAATATAGATTTATGTATATTATGGTGAAAAAATACAGATAAAACAAAAAAAAATACGATTAGGGTTTGTAATGTACAGATCTATGTATACATATACATATATATGTACAAGTAAAGGGATTACACTTACCTTCACATCAAAATGAAGCTTCTTCTTCGTCGATCTATGAGTGGAAACCCCTTCTTCGTCGATCTGTAAGTGGAAGCCCCTTCTTCGTCGTTGCTGAGAGAGAAGAGAGAGTCGTTGTTGAGAGAGTTGGAGAGAGAAGAGAGAGAGAGAAGAGAAAAGAGGAATGTTGGAGTGTTCTATGAGGACAAAAATTAGAAAGACCCATATTTATAGTTCATCACATGAAGTTGTATTTTGTGGCTAACAAGACTTGAAGTTGAGACTTCATTTAAATCAGCCTGCGTGTTTTGTGTTTCTCATGTTTTCTGGAATACAAATTTTTTGTTATAATTTTTTGTCTTTGTCTCCAAACAATTAATATAAAACAAAAACAAAAATATTACCCAAATATATTTTTATTTTCATTTTTAAAAAATTGAAAACAAAAACACAAGGTAAAACCAGTAAACAAACAACCCAAAGGTATTATATACCTACAAATTTTAAGGGGTTTGAATATAATTTACTAATAGATATATTAACGGACATTGACGATAAAAGCCTAAATATTACGTTTGTACAAACCTTAAAAAATTTATATGTAATATTATAAATGCAGAGAGTTTGATTGATTAACTGACAAGCCTCCGGGAGTTGAGCGTAATTCTTCCAAAAAAAAAGAAAAAAAAAAGCTTTATTAAACTCCAAAAGCTTCTCATTTTCTTCCTCCCCTCTCCCTCTCTCTTCTTCTTCCCTCGTTTTCTCTCTCTTAAAAAATTGACAAATAGATCGTTTCAAAACCATTTCTACCCTAAGTCTCTTCTCATCTTTATCAACCCATTCTTTCAAAACAATTACAGTCCATTTCTCATCCCAAAATTAATCTTCTTTCCTTCTCTCTCTCTATACACAGATTTTTTTGGGTTGTGTAAAGATGAGCAGTGGTGGAGCTAGGGTTCCAATCCCAAGCAGTGTTCGCAAGACGATCCAGGACATCAAGGAGATCTCGGGCAATCATAGTGAAGAGGAGATATATGCAATGCTCAAGGAATGTTCTATGGATCCCAATGACACAGCCCAAAAGCTCCTCCTTCAGGGTCTCTCTCTCTCTCTCTATGTATTTTGCTATCTTGGTTTGATCTGGATTTCATCATCAGGCGTTGCGATCTATTTCTTGATCACTTTATGAAGTGATTTTGCATTTGTTGCGTTAAAGGTGTATCACTTCATTAGAGTGATACGAATTGAATATTTTGCTGGCTTTAACGAGGTTCTCATTGTTATTTTTCTTTGTTATCATGTTGTCCGAAAGCTGACTCCACTCGAGTCTTTTTTCAAATCCCTTTAAGATTTACTTTTTAAAATTTTGTTTCAGAACTATTATGAGTGTTATAATGGTTTAACGGATTTTTTTTCTATTGTTAAATAGAATGATGGGTCGTAGATTTAATTTGACCAACGCGTGTACTGCTAATTGACTTTAACGATTCTTGGAAATATTGTATTCTTGCCGATAATGGCTTATTATAGTGCAAGAAATGGGAAAATTGGGCTTTTGAAGGTGAAGTCTGCTGGATGTTACAGGGTGGATCTCTCTAGATTAGAGAGTAAGTTTTTTTTTCAGATTGGGTATGTGAGCAATCTTATTGGGATTGTTTCACAGGTTTGTTGCGTATTAGATTGAATTTTTGCAGTCAAGCTCGAGTAACTGGCGAAACAGTGGAGAAACAATGATGTGCCCCATTGATTTTTTCAATTTCCACTGGCGAAACAGTTATCACTGAACCCCACCATGGTAGCCCGGTGGTGTGGGGTTAGCTTGGGGCGAGTAGTACACTTGGACGATCAAGGCTCGATTCTCGTTAGTGTTGCCTAAGCTTAATTGATACCTATGGTTGGTGGGTGATTGTAGATATCTGCAGTTTACCTTGCAGTGTGGGTCCAATGTGGCCCTTTGGAGAGCGTAATGAAGAAAAAAAGCTGGTGAAATACATGCTTGTGATTATATTATGTCTTTCATACATATTATGCTCTTCACAAGGTTTTGGTTTAGTGGTGATGTGCAGGACTATGATCTTCAAGTTACATTCAAAGAAGTAGTTCTTGTATTCAGAGATTAGGGACGTAGATATAAGTGTTGTGATTAGTTTACAATTTGTTTTGTTCAATGGTTTGTGAGTTGTAATCTTAATTTCTTATTTGTATATTTTGTCACGAAATGTCAAAGGGGAAGATTGGTAGATCATATTTTGTAATTGACTAATTTTGTGGAGTCTTTTGTAAATTTCAACCTATTCCATAATCATATGCTACAACGATGAAGATACTTGGAGCAAAAATGGTGCTACTCGAAGAATCTTTGTATCCAAATGTTCTCTTCTTTAGGTTCTTTCTTGGAACTTGGTAGTCATATTGTTTTCAAGTTCCATGGTTTCTTCCCGACCATACTTGATCTACTACATCATTTTCAATGTGATGTTTACCCCATGGCAGTTTTAGAATTTATGTCCTTCACAACCAGTTAATAGCCACCTAGTTTTTATCCATGAGCATTAGGGAGAGGCCCCTGGGGATTCACTAAAGGGAGTGTACTGCCTCAAATGTTTTTTTTTTTAAATCCTCTGGTTCAAGCATATTAATTTTAAATGAGTTGTTTCGTAAAAAAGTTTGGCCTGTCAAGCATGAGAATTTGGATAGGATTCTTGGGAATCTCATTCTGAAGTAAAAGACCGAGGTTATCTTTGCACCCAGTCCTATCAACAAGCTCCGTTATAGAGGATGAACACTGTGTAAAAAGTATGTTCTGTCTAGATTTAACCACTGATAAGTGAATTAAATAAGAATTTAAATTCTTTTAAAGTGAATCAAGGTTTGGTTCTTAGGATTGTTATTGCATTCCTCAGATCAAAACTGCCCATAATGTTCACACTTTGAGACTTGCACTATGCATTGTTTTAATTTTTTGAAGTGTGCTACAGTTTTGACACCTGTTCACAATGTCAGCAAAACACTGCAACTGCTTATTCATATGATGCTCCTAGAATTGTTTGCTGTGTTCCCCTCTTATAAAAGCAAGATGACGTGGGTTTTACTGTTTCACAGATACATTTCATGAAGTTAAAAGGAAACGTGATCGAAGTAAGCAGGTCAGTTTGGTTTTATGTTGAGGATGGACCTGTAAGTTGTGCAGTTTATACAGAATAATGCATCAGTTTTTTGATGATTGTGTGCCACAGTATTTCAAAACCAAAATGTGTCCTATTTCGAATGGAATAAGTTATTGGGCACATCAATGCTTTAATACCCTCAAAAACTAGTAACTTGGATGTGGCTGATAATGTATGTAGTAGAGCATTAGAGAGTAAGACAATGGCCATGGTAGCTGTTCCTGAAATTCCTTAACACAAGTACATAAAATGATAGAACACAGTACTTTTGCACATACAGTGGTTGAATGATCAAGGTACCGTATTCATCTGGATGCTGACACAATCCATTATCCGGAGGTGGGGATTTCCTATTGCATCCTGTGTATGTAGTCTGACTTCAAATAAAATTTCCAGCGAATCTGGTTAAAATAAGAATTCCTATTCTTGTCTTTAGTTTTTAGCTATACCAAAACCATTAAATATGTGTCTAAATGCTGGTTGCACAGTTGTGATGAACAACACAAATGCCAGTCTACTTTTATCCAAAAGCCTTACCTGAATTGGGAAACGGATATGTATGTGATTGTGTGTGTGTGAGAGAGAGAGAGAAGGGGGGGGGGGGAGGGAGGGGAGGTAGTGGCATTGATGTTGAGCTTACTGATGCAGTTAAATTATCAGCTAAGGAGATTAGATTATTTTGATAATTACAGATGTGAAATCTGTTCCTAAATTGGAAAAGATGTGCGTGTTTGTGTGAGAGAGAGATAGAGAGAGAGAGGGTTATGGTCCTTCGCCATCAATCTATTTGAATAAGCTTCTTAGCTTTTGCTCTTTTTAAAGCACATTCTGAATGTGACTAGTGTTTCTTTTCTCTTTGTTCTTCAGAGAGGGAGGGAGAGAGTGAGGGAGGGAAATGGAGAAAGAGTGTATTATGGATTTATGGTATACTACTATCAAGTTATTGAAATACACAGCTAAACTTTTGCACCTTATTGCTCTTTTTAAGCACACGGTTCATGTGATTAGTGCTTATTTTCTTTTTGTTAGTCGTTGGGGGTGGGGGGGAGAGAGAGAGTTATGGTCTCTTACTATCAAGTCATTAAAATAAGCAGCTTATCTTTTGTTCTGTTGCCTCCTTTTTGTTCTCGTGACTCCTTATTTATTGCTAAACAATATTGTGAACAGTTCAACATTCACTTTTTTTGCAGAATTTGAACAAGGAGTCCATAGAGTCAAGGTGGAAACCTGGCATGCAGTGGTGGGGGAACAGGGGTGGGCAGGGGAATTATCCACGTCGTCACATGACTCATGGTAAATCAAAACTTGAATTATGTTGGCCGTTCGGAGGACATTGTTGGTCGAATTTCCTATGCTTTCAACTTGCAGGATTCACCCATTGTTCTGCATTGAACTTACCTGCATCTTTTGATAGCAAATTCAAGAATACCATACTTATCGAATTTTGTTGACTGCATCATTTTCTGGAGTCTATAATTAGGGCATTGGTATATTGAAAAACTCGATCTTTTTCTTTTACAGTTATTTTGTCTCATATCGTCAAGAATAGAGGCTTATACTTAACACTGTAAATTGTCATATTGCATCATTACATTCATTTCTTTCATATGATACATACATTTTTTTTGTAGGAATAACATACATACACACAAATATATGCATGTGTCTGCCACTTTTATCTAATGTACCCTCTTGTCAGATGCTGGAGGTGGCAAAAACTCTGCTTTGGGAAAGGGGAGTGGAAACATGCAAGTTTCAGAGAAGGGTCCTGGTCCTTCGTTGTTTCCTACCTCTCAGGAGACCAAAAACAAAGAAACATCGTCTGTTGCAAGGTGCCATAATTTTCATTGGATCTGCTCCTTGTTTATTTAAATTGCACTGTAGCGTAATGCAATCCTCTTTTGGAATTTAAAGTCTATTTCTTTCAACAACTAAATTTAGTAATACTTTGCAGAGGTTTATTTCTTACAGCCCTCCTGTTTTTCAACTTTTTTGCAGCTCTTCAACTTCGATAAGCAACGATCCTACCAGCATAGCTTCTGGGAGTACTACTGTTGTCAAGCAATCTGACATGACTGTGGCTTCAGTTCCCGAACTGGTGCCATCTCACGATTCTTGGCTTCCCAGTGGTGGTACGGAAAAAAGTGAAGTGGCAAGCCACCAAACTCCTGTTGAACAGATTTCAGTTCCCCATGCTGGTATGGACTTTTGCTGTCTTGTTCAGATAAACCTACATTTACTATGTGATCCAACTCATAATGAATGGGTTTTCTTTTTTGTTGATGGCTGAAATAGCACCTTCTGAGGTTGCGAGCTCCTTAATGCAAGGAAAGATGACAAGCAAACCCCAGGAAACAGGAAAGAACCAGCTTTCCGAGTCTTCACTACTTTTATCTTCTACTCATGGTAGCTCTTCTGTTAGTAGGCCTTCATCTAACTACAATAGTCGTTCACAAGCAGTTGGCCCTCCCAAAGGTAAAACATTTAAACGCTTAGACTAAGTTGACGTGAGATTGTTGTCATTGTTGTTATTGTCATCATCATTATTACTACAATAACAAATAGGGGATGTGTGGTTATGGCAGCATTTTGGGTGGTATGTTTGGAAAGGAACAATAAAATTTTTGAAAGGAAAAGAAGAATTTGTGGAGTTTCTTTAGAATAGAGTGAAGTTTTGGGCTTCATTTTGGGCATTGACTGCAAAAGAGGTTTAAGGATATCCAATTTTTTTCCTTAAACCTATATTTTTTCTATATGTCTCCATTTAATTCTCTTTCACCCATGTTAGTCTCTTTTTTTTTATGCTAAGGTTGTGTCAACTTAAAAAACAAAAGTTTATCTTGTATGTGACTACTGAGCAATTACTCTAGTTATTATTCCTCAAGAAATCTTTGCTGAGGTTCTTTCTAGAAGAACTGTATTGCGAATAAGCAACTCTTGGATGCTACTTTAATGGTCAATGATGTGTTTGATATGTCTTAAAATGCTGCAAATTGTTGTGCAGTAAAATCTGACCTGAGAAGGCCTGCGGGTATTGAGCTTATAGATCTCGAGTTTAGTTAAAACAGGGTATATGTTCCATTGGAGGAAGAGAGTGAAAGGTTGTCTAGATTCCATGAAAAATACTAGTTCTCGTTAATAGGGAGGTGAAAGGTCACGTGCTTTGGATGGATAAGGCAAAGGAGATCAACTATTACCGACTTTATTGCTTAGTGAATGATCTTGATAGCAGAATCTTTGAGGCTAGTGGAAATATTTGGGTGAACAAGGATAGCATTAGATTTTCTTGCTTCCGATTTGCGGAGGATACTGTTTTTGTGTCTTTTACCGGCAATATAAATCCTCGTCCTTAAGTTTAAGTGAGTAGCCCTTTGAAAATAGAAGTGTAAAAGTAGCACTTTTGGTGTCAATGTGTTATAAAGAAATCATGAAAAATATTGCTGACTCTATAGAATATTGTGTTTTTGTTTAGCTTGTTTTGGGCTTCCTTTCGGTGGGAATCCTACGAGAAAATAGGCCTTAGTGGTGTAAAAATGTTTGCTAGTGTTAAAAGGTTGGAAGAAGGCTTACAATTCTTGGAAGCCAGAATTGGCCCCGATTTGGACTTTGTTCTTGATCTGCAGACCATACCAAACTAGTTATACATTGGTTTGATCTGTACATAGAGATTGTTTTCTTACAATAATTGCTAATTTGCTACTAACTTGTAAAGTTGGTTATATCTATTCCGCAGCCTTAGGGTTTCAAGTACTGCCCAAATGTTTTGTTTGATGCGTAGGAACAGTATTCTGGTTTAAGTATCGAGTGAAACCAGAATGCATTCCTTTTTGGCATGGTCCATTTTTTGGGCCACCAGAAATGAGAATACCCATTTCTGTTATCGGCCCAAAATGACCATGGTAATTATGATTGAGTAGTTTTCAGTAGATAGGAAAAGTAATTTGAACTGAGTTTATGGGGAGCCTATCAATGATATTAGATGGTATTAGAGATAAAAACAAGACTATCACATATCATTCGCTGCTTCATTGATGTAGGACATGCTCAAGATCCAGAGTAACTAACTAATTTTGTGTTCTCTAACAGTGGGTCATGGTAAGGAGTGGAAACCAAAGCCAATAAACCCTAGTCTTGCTCAAGGGTTGGTGACAGCTGCATCATCTGAGGTTTCCTCTGTTACAATTGAAGTTGATACCCAATCACAGGCTGTATCGAGTGTGTTTGATTCAAAGGAAGCAAATTCAGAACTGCAGAGCAAGCTAGAGGAGCTTCACATTTCAGATGGTCGACATGTTATTATCCCAGATCATCTCCATGTCCCTGATGCTGAAAAACTCGGGTTCTGCTTTGGAAGCTTTGATAACAGTTTTAGATTAATCACTAGCTGTCATAGTGGCCCCGAGGGTGACAAAAGTCCTCCTCCACCTCTTTCTGAAACTTCCGAGGAGATTGAAGAAACTATGGAAGAGCAGTCCTCAAGGTCTGACAAAATTTTAATTTTTTTCCCTTGGTTCTGGTTTTGAGGCTGAGCAGCTATTTCTGCCTCATACATGTTTTGATTCTTTTTAGCTTTCACTTAAATAGGGAAAAATTATCTTGAGTTCTCATGTTAATTTGAATAAACTGTGGATGAAGACTCTTCAAAGATAGGGAAAGGTGGTTTTTGAATAGTTTTCAATCAGGATTTGGTTTAGTACTTGGTGTTTTAGATTTCTACTCTGCTCCATTAAATAATATTTAAGTACTTGAAAAGTCTGTTTTAAATTGTCAAGTTGGAAATAGTTATTTACCAAAATCGGATTATAAGTTATTAAATGGTAAAATGAATAAAAATTCGCGATTTGAAAGGCTGTTCCTAAAGATCCCAACGAATTCCTAATTGGAATTGGGGGATCTTTTTGAATTGATTCTTTTATTACATTGTGATATTTTACATCGTTGAATGGGCCCATTCGAGAACAATTGGATGATGACAAAATTATCAAGGATTGACATTCCTCTAAGATGGGGAATCTTTTTTGCTCCTTTTTCTGTTTCATTCAGCAGGGGAGCTTAAATATCCTTGTCTTAACATAAGTGTGGGTTGTCCAAATTGAAGACTCATGTAAATCATCAAAATTGTAAGCTATCTGTGAGCAGTCACATGACCTTGGAGAATTAGCTTTTAAAGATGGTAAAAAATGAACGTATACACTGTTATTATGTTGTTCCTTTTTATAAATATATTGAAGGTTTAGTATTAGAGTATGTTTTCGAGTTCTGCCCAAGATTGGGAATTTCATTGTACCGGTGTACCCTTCTTGTTTATTGGGCTGCCGAGAATGAAAGACCCTTACTTCTCTCTTAGTGCTAGTTCAGTAACCAATTTGAGTCAAGCTAGGTTATTATGATGGGTAGGATTAGTTTTGAAGTTTTCTTTGAAATAAGGGATTTTCTAGAGCCTTGAGTAAACAATATGGTTGGAAAACAGTATTAGCCTCAAAAGAAGGCATAACATTGCTGAATAATGAACTGCTCCTCTCCATACTTTCCCCTTCCATTCCTTTTACATTTTGGGCAAGTGATAACCTTGAAATTTATTTCTCCACCCCTTGTATAATCTTTTTTTTTTTATTCTTGTCTGTATTGGTATATCTAGCTTCCTTTTCTTTGCCTTATCTATTTTTTACTTGTGGATTTTCCTCTCTTTTGATTTCTTACCTTTCTCCATTTTCTCTAGTATTTCCTATTGGAGGTTACATCAAAATAGAGTGTGCAACCAAGCCAGCAAACATGATGGAATCAATTATTTTATTTTTAAAAAAAAAATTAAAAGCCTCTCCTAGGATTAATTCACTGTTGATAAGTCTGAGAAACAAACACATCTCTATACCTAACATTTCTGACCCTGATCTGATGGTGCACTATCTTACTGAATGCAAAGCTATCAGTGAATGATGTACTTGACCTTCCAAGTATCACCTATTTCCCATTTTTTAACTAGTCATATCATTTGATTCAGCCATCAAAACACATTGGCAACCGCTGAAGGAGACTATGCTGATCATCCACCTTCATCATTGGAAGTGCCAGAGAATTCTGATGAGGCTGATGTCACATTTAGTGTGGTCCCCCAGTACACCAAGTCCAAGCAAGAAAATGTCCTGCCCCATGCAGGGCATCAATACTCAGCGGTTCATACTTCTCCTAGCAACAATTTTGGCCTCATGCTAGGGGGCCAGCTTGCACCACTCGAAAGCTCCGAGTCTCAAGTTCGTGATGTGTCTCGCCTTCCAGGCTTTGTAGTAAGTCTTTCAAAGTTATTTCATGTTATAGATAAAATGTTATGGGCATTTGATATTTCCAAATATCTTCAACTGTTTAAACAGTGGTAAATAGAGAAGTGAAATATCTTGATTGAACTTAAGTTCTTAGCTTCGCCTTGTTTGACAATTGAGTATTTTTATTCCCATAATTCTTGTTCTAATTTGCTCTCTCTGTCTGTGGGTATATATGTATATACATGTATATATTACGGCAAACAGGTTCAGCAACCATTTGATCAGGCGAACTACTATGCTCAATTTTATCGGTCTGGTGCAGACACCGATGGTCGCGTTTCACCCTTCCATGCGCCTGGCGTTACAATGAAGTACAATGGCAATGTTGTTGTAGTATCTCCACAGACTTCTCAGTCTCCTCAAGAGGTTTGTGCCTATCAAGCACTTGTTATCATTATTGACCTGTTGAAAATGTTAGGTTTCTATGATTTTTAGGATGCCTAGCAAGGACTGTGTACACTTGACCCGCCTTAGAACCTACAATTGTGAGAGACTTGTGCATTGGGCCACACTTATGTGTGTGTGTTTGTGTTTCTGTGATGAAGATGCATTTATGTCATAATATATGCCATAAATATAGTAACTTTCCTCCATGTTTCACATAGTTTATGCAAACATTTTTGGCTGACTTTTTGCTATGTTGGTATGTATAGCAAGTGCTTTCTGGTTTTTGTTATAGGTTGAAAGAAATTTTTGAGTTTTCATGCAGGACCCTATTTTTAGGTCCTTTGCGGGACTTGTTGAATTTCGGGACAATCACGTCTTTTTTTCTTCATTGTTATGTACCTTACATGAAAAATTTTTGATTCACTATTTTGCCCTCATAAGAAACTATAAAGGCTAACATGTCCAGTATTTAAATATGTAGATTACCATTATATCCCTCTATACTCAAATAACAAACTAACATCTAGCATATCATGTAAATCTCAATTTTCTCGAAACTTTTAGATGGTCATGTTACTCTTGACAAGATATATAAAAAAATTTATTTTTTTTCTAAAACCCCAATATTAATATACATCGACAACTTCATTTATAAAATATTATCTTCGGTGCCAAAAATTAATATATGTATCTTTTTCTTATCGTCCACAATATAAACAATTTAAGTATGATAAAAATGAGATAGTATCTAATTTAGATATATAATTAAATTTTGAGTTAACAATACTTTCAGTCTCTAAAATATGCATTTTTTGTTAATTTAGTCCTCATTGTATTAATTTTATCAATTTAGTTCCTCTAAAGTATTCAATCTGTGTCACTTTGGTTTCTAATTAGACAATTCGTCAAGTTTTTTTATGAAATTGACCACGTGTCATTTTTTTAAATGGTATCATATGCCTAACACATGATCATTCCGTCAAAAATTTAATGGTTTGTCTATATATAGGGACAAAAATGATATGAATTAAATATTTTAGAGATCAAATTGACAAAATTGAAACAATGAAGACTAAACTATATATATATATTACAGATCAAAAGTGCTACTAACCCTTAAATTTTTATGTATTTTATCAAATATTTTAACGAAAATTTTTACGTGCATTGGATTGCTAGTTCATGTTAAAAGTACCTTGCAGTTATTTTGATGAGTGAGCAAACGTGTGGAACAAGATTGTGCTTTCCATGTTGAATACAAAATCTTATTTTGTCAGACCAACTTGAATTGTTGCAAGTTGTTTGTGTAGCAAATATCACTTGGTAATACTTCAATTTTAGCCCCTATAAGATTAATTGATAGTATCTGACCAAAAGAAAAATGTTAATTGATAGAAGCATTTTCAGTAATAATTTCAGCCTTTATGTAAAGTCAAAGAAGAAAATTCCTTTCCATTTTTTGATACCAGGGAGCTGTTAAAAAGGGACGAGTCTTATACATAGATTTTCTAGGTAAAATTCTTGGCATACTTTGGATTTATATTTGATATATACTATAGGTACTGTAGCTATTAATGGATAAAGGACATTGTTTGTGGTATCTATACTTATTTAGAACCTTTATAAAAAGTGTGTCCTTACTGAGCAATTATCTCAGATACTTATAGCTATTGGGAATCTTCATAGAAACTGTGTCCTTACTGTGCAATTATCTCAGATACTTACAAGCATCCAATCTCAGGTTGGGAACTCTTACATTTTGTCGGCGGGTCCAACACCACTTGTGGGTCAAGCGGCAGGGGTTATGCAGAGCTCAATAGCTCAGCAACCACTCCATGTCTTCCGACAACCAACCGGAATGCATCATTACCCTCCGAACTATATTCCATACGGTCACTATTTCTCCCCATTTTATGTTCCGCCTCCTGCCATCCATCAATTTTTAAGCAATGGTGCATTCCTTCAGCAACCTCCGGCTGGCGGTGTATGTCCGGCCCCCCCAGTGGCAGCCACCAAATATCCACTTTCACAACACAAGCCAGGGATTAATACAGGAAACTCCCCCCACATTGGAGTACCTAGCAGCTATGGACCGTACAGCTCCTCTATATCTGGTTATAATCCTAGTTCTGTTATGCCAGCTGGAAAATCATCTAACGAGGATCTTGCAGCAAGCAAGTTCAAGGAAAATTACCTTACTAGCCAGCAGGTTTGTTTTGTATATTTGCATGATTAATATTATTATTTTCTGGTGAAATGAGATATGGCAATTTTTCTTAATGTTACATTTAGAAACTCTGACAAATGTGTAAGTGGAAGCACTTGAGCATCATGTTGTGTTTGTACATGGAGTGGACAGTATAGTGTTCAATTTTCTGGTTTTTTTTTCCTGGATATAGTGAAATTGGTAACTAGAAAGCAAACAAAGCACCGTTCAAAGCAGTTTTGTACAGAAATCAACTTGCCAAAAATGATTAATTGGCATTCTGGTTTGGTTGTCTGGTTGGTTTGATTTTATCCTTTCAATTGATAGTGATTTAGATGCTTCTTTTTGGAAAATGTCCGGTGTTCCCTAGTTTAGTAGCTATTCAACATTGTCTTGCACAAATACTTGTCAGAGCTTACATTGTCTACCCTGTTCCCGAAATCATTTTAAATTTTCAGTATTACATTGAGTACTTAAGACCATCTTCTTGGTAAACCAATATTATGAAACATTTTAGCTCGTTAGTGGTGCCCAATATACCCGCTACTCAATAATCTTCCTGAACTACTTGTGAAATTTTCTTACATAGAAGAAACGTTTTAAAATAGTTGTGTATTTGATTTCTTGTAGAGCGATGGTTCAGGCTTATGGATTGCTGCCCCAGGTCGAGATATTTCTGGCTGGCAGGCTAGTTCCTTGTACAACCTTCCTCAGGGTCAACAAACTTTCACCCCGACACATGGTGGCCATGGCACCTTTCCTGGTATATATCACCATCCACAAATGGTGACAGCACCAACTGTTCACCCACTTCTGCAGCAATCTCAGACCATGGCTGGAGCTGTTGATATGGTAGTACCTACAGGTAGTGTATATCAGCAGCCACAGCATGCACAAATTAACTGGCCCAGTGGCTACTGAAGGAAGTACCTATGCTCTTTTTGTAAACCAGCAAACCAAGAACTGCAAAGCCCTGTATTGAATTGTTGTGGGAATTCCAACAAGTTTGAATGAAGTAAAAAACCAAGAGAACATTGGCAGGAACTGAGTGTATAGCTACAGGAGGCGCGGTTGGGAAAATTGGACAGTTAGTATCTTTTGATTGCTTGGGCTGAGGATATGAAAAATAAAATCCTCCTGTAACCGGCACTGACCATTTTAAGTTTATTGAGGCAGGTGCGTGTCAGTCTTCTCTTTTTTGTTGTTCGAATATGATTCTACCTTGTTTCTCTCCACAGTCGGGACCCCTTTGAGCTTTATTAGAAACATCGTAGGAGTAAATTGTTAATTTTTTTTATCTTCATGAGGGGGGTTTTCACTTGTTTGAGGTTTTATAGGACACCAAAAGTAAGGTTAGGTTTCTAGGGACTTTTCCCATTTTGTGTTCTGCCTTGTCTATTGTTGTCTTACTTGTAAAGTGAATTTTGATAGCAAGAAAAGATGTACTTCAATTGTTGTAATTTGGTATCAGTATAAGCAACAGCAGCATTCAATTGTTTCACAACTTTCACTAGACATTGAGGAATATATAGTCTCTCTCTCTCTGCACACACACGCGCCCACACACACATAAAAACTCGGTATCTTATCTAATTTGAGAATTTGATGCATTTTTATCTAATTTGGATTACGTTCAAATAGTATTGTTATTTATGGATATAAACGGGTTAACATCCAATTAACCCAAAAAGAAATAATGGCATGTAAAAAGCATGACGAAAAATGTAACATCCAAACACCAGCAAAACAACAGAAACCATGGCCTGCTGTGGATTCTCCACTAACCTCCATAAACAATTGCTGTGTGAAAGTTATGGATGAGTATTTTTCTTTATTTTTTATGTACACATGTGCAATAAACAATTGTTTATTGACAGTATAGACGGTTGACATGTGCATTGACTATCAAAAAATTGACAGTCATTATTTATTGGAGTGATATAAAATAAAATTGATACTTTAAGGTACAATAAGATAAATTTTGTAGTTGAGAGTATAAAATAAAATAAAGATAATAATTTAAGGGGATAAAGTGTAATTTACATTTATTTTCTTCAAGTTCTCGAAACCATCGATCTCCAAAACCCAAAAAGACACAGACTCCTTGTGTTTGATGATCCCCCCACCTAAATCTTTGGAACCAGAAACCTGCCACACCAACATGAAAATCTTTGGTGCCCGAATACTGAAGCTTTCTCTCGGCCGCCACTCTCCGGCGCAGTGGAGGAGAGATCATCAGCCTTCAAGTTGAAGATCATCCATGCTGGTGGCCGCACCGAGTGCTACTACATGGCTGTCCCAGCAGCCAGGATAATGGAGAAGTACCCTTCTTCAATCCTGGCCAGGCCTGAGGTTTTCCGGCGACCATGGGACTCAGTTGTCCGACCGGAGGAGATACTAATTCCAGGTCAGAAGTTTTTCATTGTTCCAAGTAACACAGTGAAGAAGCTGAGGAGAAGAATCAGAAAGCCAAAGAAAGTTGAGGGTGAGAAATTCAGGAACATGGCAACCAAACCTTACTGTGATCAGTGAGAATCATGGGTCTGATGAATGAATCTTTCTTCATCTTACCTTAAACAATAGGGATGTGGTTGATCCAATAATTTTACTTGAACAGAGTAATTAATATCTACAATGTACCATTTTGAGGTTATGAACTATGTAGTGTAACAAGCTGTGTGTTTGCTCTTTTGCTTAGGAGATTAACAGGACAACCCAATGTTTGAAGTTCAAGTCTATCTAAACAAATTTGTCTTTTAACTACTTCAAGTGATGTTGGCGGATCTTCCCAAGTGTATTCCAATTTTAGCGAGAAACTGATTTGAACTTTGTTCTCGTTAGAGATTTAAAAAAGCGAATATCTTAAAATTTCACTTCAAGTAAATGACCAAATTAGAAATCTGAACAGTATTTTGGATCTATAAATAAATTATAAATTTGTTTGGATTTTTGGTTGCAGATTTTGAAAGATTTTGGCCCTCAGTTTTAAGCATTTATGTTTAGTTATATTCTCGGAGAATTTTGTATAATCTCTTTTTGTTAATAGTAAAACATTGCTGCTACGCTTTGCTCGTAGAGTAAACTATTAAGTCGATCCATGTATATTTATGTTTTTTATTTTTCTATTTCATTTATTTATTAGGGAGTAACTTGTACTTAAAGACACAGTGCAATGTGAATTATTTTGAGAGAGATATTGGTGGCCCTTGAATAAGTCTATTTGAAACCGTCGAATATGTTTATCGAAATTTATCTTATTTTATAACTGTTTTTATATTATAAATTTGTAGAATTTATTCATAACAAACTTGTATACATACGAGATTCCTGACTATTTTGGGTCTCAATAATGCAGGGTTGTACAAAAATCAAACATACAATAATTCAATTCTATCAATCATTCTAATCATATCATTAATAATCCAAAGCCAATTGTTCAACATTGTGGCAAGTGTTAGGTGGGCTTTCAAACGTTTCCTGTGCTTGTCACAGGTGTAATTTCTTCCATCTTTAAGACAAGAACAGTGGGCCACATCAAGAGGACAGGTAAGGTAACCTCAATCCTTCTCTCTCTCTCATAGCCTAAACATTTTGATAACAAAGTCTCTAAATCCATGATCATACTCTCCCCAATTATTGCACCAAATTCAATATTAAACAATAATCTCCTAAAAAATAAATAAAAATATTACAAGACCCTAACCATAGGTAAGTTGTCTACTCCAAGACCCTAGGGGACCCTAACTCCATGCCCCCAATTAGTCAAATTGGGGCAGTTAACCAGTCATGTCTCATCTCATATTCATAACTTATTCATTTTTAACTGCACAGAATTAGATTCGTATAATTTATCTATAAATTATATTAAGTGAAATTTATGTCGTGTGCAATTAATTTTAAATTGACTTAGTTTTCATGAGTAAAAACATCTTTAGCTCTTTTTTATTTTTAAATTTAAATTTAAATTTGAATAAAAATAGTTTGAAAAATTTCTTTGATTTTATACCTAAATTCATACTAAATTAAGAAAAAAATTAAAATTTACACTAAAATTAAAGGAGATTCAAATCCTTCACCCAAAATTCTAACTGTAAAACTCTAGCTTAATTTTAGAAAATATCTGTATGAGAGAAGAAAGAGATTGAAAAATGAAAAAAAAAAGTGGTTTTGGAATAATATATATATATTTAAAAAATTAATATAATAAAAAATTATATTTATCCAATGAAGACATGTATATAAAATTATGTGTCGAGACGCTAAGCTAAGCCAGACGTAAGGGTCAACTATCCTTATTTTTCAAAAGATTTTTTTTAAATTTGCTCGATATATAATAATTACCATTTATTTGACGAAAAACGTTATATAATTCAAATGAAATTTAAAAATTTAAATTTAAATGCATATCATATTTTGAAGGGTTAATTGCAAGTCGCACCTTGAAAGATAGTTCGAATCTTAATTTAGACTCTTAAAGATTAAAAATTTCAATTTGTACCTTCAAAAATAGAAATTTGTATCAATGTGCACCTAAAATTAAATTGATAAATTATACCTAGATCTCCTCATGTTTGTCACTTTATCATTTGAACCCTTCACATTTAGAATATTACTCCTACATCTCATGACATTTGTGCATGTGTAACATATAACTTATTTTCGTTGATATTGCTAATATAACCATTAAAAAAATATGATTTTATTCTAAATAAAAAATTATAATTTCATATTACCCTTTATTTTGTGGGTCCGATACACTTTAAAATTCAAAATCAAGCTTACCATTTGAATATTCAATAGAATTTAGATATTTATATAATATTTTTTATATCCAATGCAATATATCACTCAATGTGCAACCCTTTATTCTATTATACATTCAAATGGTAAGCTTGATTTTGAATTTTAGAGTATATTGGACTCATAAAATAAAAGGTAATATGAAATTATAATTTTTTATTAGAATAAAATCATATTTTTTTAAAGGTTGTATTAACAGATATCAATGAAAAGGGGTTACGTGTTACACGTGCATAAACGTCATGAGATGTAAGAGTAATATTCTAAATGTGAAGGGGTCCAAATGATTAAGTGACAAGCTTAAAGAGATTTAGGTATAATTTATCAATTTAATTTTAGGTGTACATTAATACAAATTTTTATCTTTGAGAGTGCAAATTGAGATTTTTGATCTTTAGGGGTGCACATTGATACAAATTTCTATTTTTGAGGGTGCAAATTAAAATTTTTTATCTTTGTGGGTACAAATTAAAATTTAAATGGTCTTTCAGGGTGCAATTTACAATGATTGTTTGATAAGTGGATTCAATGGAAAAAATTAATGGGACCATTCATCTAAAAGTAATAAATTTAATTTATAATTTTTTAAATTTTATAACATTTTTCTTATTTAATATACTATAATAATCATTCGAGTTGGAGAAAATAATCCATAAACACTTTTTAAAAAATAAAAAAACCCAGACAAGATGGCAAAAAATACTCGAAAAGTTGCTTTAAATACACCACACGGACGCACTCCCTCTTTCTCACACTCCTTATATAACGAAGGAGAGAGAGGGAGAGAGAGAGAGAGAGCAGAAATGGGAGAGGAGGAAGAGACGGTGAATGTGATGGAGAAGGAAGAGGAAAAGCTATGGAACCAGAAGAAGCAAACCCTAATTGGTGAAGTTGCAGAGAAGCTCATTAATGGAGATCTTGATACACAAATACAGGCGGCCAGAGATATTAGGAAGCTGGCGAGGAAGTCCTCAGCCAAGACTCGCTCCAAGTTCGCCGCCGCCGGCGTGATTCAACCCCTTGTCCTCATGCTCGTCTCGCCAAATCTCGAGGCTCGCGAAGCTGCTCTTCTCGCCCTCCTCAATCTCGCCGTCCGAAACGAAAAGTAAGTTTCCTAGGGCTCTTTTTAGTGGGATAATTACTAGCTTTTCGGCAATTAATTCATTATTTGCTTCCGTTTGGATGCCAAGAAACAGAGAGAAGAAAATATTGAGATGTTAAAATATTAAAAAACGTACCTCTAGATGGATTCATCCCCAAATAGTTGGGATTAGACTTCGTGGGTTGAGCGTTATCGTCTCCATTTTTAGTAATTGATAACCTTATTACGAATTTTATGAACCTGCCTTTAATTTCTTGTGGTGTGTGCATTTTCTGTAGGATTCAGCATGCTATTGATGTTTATAGGAGACTCCCTTAAAACAGATAATGGTATTAAAATGAACAAGCGATGCCTTCATTTTCTTCTCTGGATTGATTCCATGTTTACTTTCACAAGATAGGGGATCAAAAATAGACTAATGCGTATCTGACAGAATCTGCAGAACCAGTTCTGAAAGCTAGTGTTCTTTCAGTTTCATATAGCTTCTATTTCATTTTCTTCTTGTTCTTTCGATTCATATTTTTTTTCTTGGGGGTAGATTTCTTCCTATATATTTTTTATAGTTCACAAAATCTTATAGAGAGAACGAGGGAGGGGAAGGGAGGGACGATAAGGTTTGAACACTCAACAGCTTGGCCACTCCCTCACCTCTACTGATATCTTGGATAAACTGATCTTTGAGCTCCTAGCACTCGGGCCACTCCCTCACCTCTACTATCCTGGATAAACTGATCTTTTTTTGAAGCATTTGGATAGTCAGTTTCCTTATTAATTTTGCTTCCATGTCCACAATGATGGAGCCCCCTCCCCCCTCCCCCCTCCCCCCTCCTCCCCTCCTTTATTGGGCCAAAAACCAAAACCCTAATTACAATGAATGAAATAAAAGGAAAAAGAAAAAGATAGTAGAAAGGAGAAATATTGGATACTTGGGATAGGAAGCAAGATAGGGTCACTGGGTTATCTGCAAAAACCACCAATAGTTGACTAACTCATATTCTTGTGTATGGAGCTGCCCATAAGAGGCTCACTGGATGAGCCAAAGTTGCCATTTTGGTGCCAAATTTATTAAATTTTGGGATGATTGCGGCAGAAAGTGATGAACTCACTTTAAATTCGTACAAAAGTTTGTTGGCTATCATGTCATGAGACTTGAAGAAAAAAAGGTATTATTTGTGCTCTTGGTCATGTTGGCTGTATTATGGGAATTATATACTTCTCAGTGAATGCCCACGATGAAACCTTGATGACAAATCTCTGCCAATGACCAACCATGGTCAAACAATAGGATGCAATAGAGGAAAAGAGAGTGGGAGTGAGAGCGGCAATTTTGAAAACTCAAGTCCATGTGTCTCAAGGACATAACAAGTTGTTTTTTTCGTGACTTTAGCTATCCCTAGCAGACATATCACTGAATATTTAAGCCACATAATTGGAGAGATGCTGGTTTGGTGGAGAAATATGGGCATAAAAGCTGAGATAATGGCACAGTTGCATCCAAACAAGTCACTAGTGTAGCTAAGAATAGTATGTGGTGGTATAGAAAATGTTGAATATGTGCCCAAACTAGTCAAATCCATGGTTAGCCAAGTCTATGAATTTAGGCAGATTTTACTCCAAGAAATTCAAATATGTACTCCAAGGGAATCAACACATGGAAAAAGGTGTATATAAGATACTTAACTACTTAATTAGTGGAAAGCTCGTCTAACTTCTGAGGAATGCTTCCTGTTTCATAATAATGGTACATGACATTGCATATTTTCCTTGTGTATTTGTAGCATGTTTTATGCTATAAATTGTTTGCAGTTCGTTAACACGGTTACTTTATTTTTGTTTATTTTTTATTTTCTCCCCATTTATTTGATCCATGTGTAGTTGATATATATCACGTATTCCTCGCTCACTTATGTATCAGAAACAAGGTCCTGATAGTTACATCCGGTGCCATCCCCCCTCTTGTGGAGCTCCTCAAGTTCCAGAATGACAGTTTAAGAGAATTAGCAACTGCTACAATATTAACACTGTCTGCAGCTGCACCCAACAAGCCAACTATAGCAGCTTCTGGAGCTGTCCCTCTTTTGGTGCAGATCCTCAGTTCTGGTAGTATTCAAGGACGAGTTGATGCTGTTACAGCCCTCCACAACCTCTCCACCTGCAATGAGTATCCCACCCTGGATCTTGATGCTATAGCAGTTTCTCCTCTAATCAGCCTCCTCAAAGAATGCAAGAAATACTCAAAATTTGCTGAAAAGACCACAGCCCTACTGGAAATCCTTTCTAAGTCTGAGGAAGGAAGAATTGCAATCACAAATGCTGATGGTGGGATACTAACCCTAGTGGAAACAGTTGAAGATGGATCTCTTGTCAGCACAGAACATGCCGTTGGTGCTTTGCTCTCCTTGTGCCAGAGTTGCCGAAATAAATACCGGGTCCTCATTCTTAAAGAAGGTGCAATACCTGGGCTTTTACGACTAACTGTAGAGGGTACACACGAGGCTCAGGATAGGGCTCGGACACTTTTGGATCTGCTCAGAGACTCTCCTCCAGAAACAAGATTGACATCCTCTGTTTTGGAGAAAATTGTTTACGACATTGCTGCACAGGTCGATGGAAAAGAGAAAGCTGCTGAAACTGCTAAGAGATTATTGCAAGACATGGTGCACCGGAGTATGGAGCTCAGCATGAGTCGTATCCAGCTAAGGGCTGCATCTTGTACACCTTCAGATATTCCACCAGTATGACGAATCTTGCTCGGTTCAGAAGGAAGTATATAGAAGAAACTAACTGAGAGTTTGAGTGAACGACATTATGTTTGGTGTATAGAAGCATCTGAGAGTGTAATTTCTAGAGTTAGTACTGAATTAGATTAGTACTGGAGTCCTGTGAGGTGAGTTTAATGACCTTACCGGGCGATGTATATCTTCAACTCTCTGATCAAGCTCGTGTTAAAAAGTTTGTGAAATGTACATTTCTCTTAACTTCCCTTGTAGAGGACAAAGCACTGCCAATGTGCAAGCGGAATATACTTTCTTGAATCAATTGTACTACTACCAATACTGCATGGATGTATTTGAGAAAGTTTGTTAATGGCTGGTTCTTTCCAGCGTTGAGATTTAATCATGGATTGTTGCCCGGGTCTAAATTTTATTTTCTCAAGCTCAGACTATGATTTTCCTGCCCCACACAAGGACTGGGACTACTATTTGCTTCCAATGCCATAATGTTATAGAAGTTTTGTCAGTGGGTAAGGATGAGGGGAGGAATGACATACCAAGGCTGAGCTCTCGGGGGCTGTTTTGTTTGGTAAAGGGGTATAAGAGGGCTTGACAAGATCAGTTTGAGAAAATTAGTTTGAAGGATCTCTAAATTTCATGGATTGAAAATTTAATTTTGGGTTTTTTAACTCGACTTATAATTGGTCCGAATATTAAACTCATGATCATGAATTTTTTCAAATCTAAGAGAGAGGTGGGTTTGAGAAGACAGGTAAAATGACAATTGTACCCCTTAACATTAGTATGAATTAGATTGATTAAGGGTAAAATAATCATTTAAATGACAAATAGTTGTTAATGATTATGATATATATGTGAATTCTATATGTGTATAGATAGCATACTAAACATGAGTATAAATTAGATTCAATATTGAATCTCATTTTTATAAGAGAAGTTTGAGTTTTGAAAGATTTGGAGAAGTCAATTTAAATCCTCCCTAAAATTTCATCCAAACAAACCCTTGGAGGGGGGAAATGATATGACTGGTTTGAGAATCGATAGGGATTAACCTTTTTATTTTTTCACAAGTCCATAAGAATCTTGTACATTGGACACAGTTGTTTATTTTTGTTTTTGGGTATATATTTTTACTTTGACGATCAGTTATGTTAATGTTAACTTACGTGCATCTTAAATTAATTTTTAACCGATTCGGTCAAAGACAGACCATCTACCTTAAGATCAAACATAAATTTTTCATGACCTAATTTTAAAGGGTGGTCAATATTTGAATTCAAAACACCCGAGTTTATAGTTCACCATTATTATTACTTGAGTTATCTCTTCGGGTTACCATAATCAAGTTAGGAGAAAGAGTGTTTAAAAAATATTTTATCTCTATTTTTTTAAAACTTTTATTTATTTAATTATAACGTAAAATTTTATTCACTCATCTTTTGTCACACGTCGTATGTAATTATTATTCCATACACTTATTTAAGATTAAATAATAATAAATTTATCTCTCATAAATTCATAAATTTTGATATAAATAATTTGCTTCGACCGAATTGTGGAGCCATAAATTAATCCGAACCCGAAAAAAAAAAAATCTGCATCTAACCTTTCCTAATAGATCTAGATCGGACCAGCTATTATTCAATTTTGACTTTAATACGTGGTCTAATTGTTTTGCGTTAATTACGCTTCTACCACTGAGGTTGTCGGTGTGTCTGTACGTGGAAAGCTCCCACTCATCTCTCATAATATTAGAACTCTCATGCGCTTGTTGCGCAATACGCCATCATCAATCCCACCGTTTACAATAGCATTGACATCTACGTGGAATCATCGTAACACTGGTGATCGCACAACGCCCAATGCTCATTTTAGCAGGACTCGTTGTAGTTCACCATCGTTTATCTTTGACTCATGATTGAGAAATGAAGTACCCAGCTCACACCCCTCTTTACAGAGAAAATCCAGAGAGAGAGAGAGAGATGAATCTCTGTGTTGCCACTCCAAATGTGTAAGGTAAGACCAACATATTGATACAGATCTGTATATGCATAGACTTCTCTTTCATTTAACACTGATAGTTCTTACTTAATTTCCAGATCTGTGAGTTTTTTCTTCAATTCTCACATTTTACAGATACCCATTACTCAAATTCATCGATTTCCTGTTGCTCATTCTCGATTCTTGTTCTTTCTGGTTCTATCGTGGTAGATCTTAGTTTGCTACTTGTGATTGATCTGTGCTAAAAGATGTTGGGTCGGTCTTCAATATCTTTATCGCGTACCGGAAGTTTCCGACCGGAGAATTTGGGCCAGAATGCACTTGCAATGATTGGGAATCTCTGTTTCACTCTCTTTGTACTTGGGGTATTGATCTTCACTATAATTGCTGCCACTTACGAACCCGAAGACCCTTTGTTTCACCCATCCACCAAGATGACTAATTTCCTCACATCCAATACCAATGCCACATTTATATCGGATAATACTGTTGTTAAGACTGGTGAGGACTTTATAGGCCTAAATCAAACTGCTTTTGCGACCTTTATAAATGTTACTGATGTCGAACCCGAGTTTGCGGAACTGAGTATTGTTGATTGTAAGGGGAAAATGGATGAACCCATTGATTGTGCTGACCAGGATGTGTTTCATTTGATGATGAAGGTTGCTATTGAACTATTTAAGGATATCCATTTTTATAGGTTTGGGAAGCCGGTGAGGGGTTATAATGATAGTTCTTGCCACATGGCTTGGAGGTTTAGGCCTAAGGAAGGGAAGGCTGCGGCTTTTTATAAGGATTATAGGAGTTTTGTGATTTCAAGGTCGGAGAATTGTACGCTTAGTGTGGTTGGGATTGGGGATTATCATTCGGGTGGGAATGCAAGGAAGAAGAAGAAGAATCAGAAAGCGGATTTTGAGAAGGTACCAAAGAAGGATACAGAGACCATTGCTCTGCCTGTTGTTGGGGAAGCTGTAAATGATTCACTCCCTGTGGTGGAATCTGAGGGGTCATTTAGTCGTGGAAAGTACTTGATTTACTCTGGTGGTGGGGAGAAATGCAAAAGCATGGATCATTATTTGTGGAGTTTCATGTGTGCTTTGGGTGAGGCTCAGTATCTCAATAGGACACTGGTTATGGATTTGAGTATCTGTTTGTCTTCAATTTACACTTCGTCTGGACAAGATGAAGAAGGTAAGGATTTCAGGTTTTACTTTGATTTTGAGCATTTGAGAGAGTCAGCATCTGTGTTGGATCAGAGTCAGTTTTGGTCGGATTGGAGCAAATGGCAGCGCAAAGATGGATTGAGTCTCATTCTCGTGGATGATCTCAGTATCACTCCGATGAAGCTAGCTGAGACGAAGGACACTTTAATCATGAGGAAGTTTGGGGATGTAGAGCCAGATAATTACTGGTACAGGGTGTGTGAAGGAGAGACAGAGTCTGTTGTTCAACGCCCATGGCATTTGATATGGAAGTCTAGACGGTTGATGGACATAGTGTCAGCAATTTCATCGAGGCTGAATTGGGATTTTGATTCTGTTAATATTGTCAGAGGAGAGAAGGCAAGGAACAGGGAGCTATGGCCTAATCTTGCGACAGACACTTCACCTGAAGCTCTTCTTTCGACCTTGCGGGACAAAGTTGAAGATGGGAGGAATCTTTATATCGCCACAAATGAGCCAGACACTTCTTTCTTTAATCCCTTGAAAGACAAGTATTCTACTCATTTTCTCAATGACTACAAAGATCTTTGGGTTGAGAACAGCGAATGGTATACAGAGACAACAAAGCTGAACAAAGGGGCTCCTGTTGACTTTGATGGTTACATGAGGGTTTCAGTTGATACAGAAGTGTTCTTGAGGGGGAAAAAGCAGATCGAGACTTTCAATGATCTCACTAAAGACTGCAAGGATGGTGTCAACACGTGCAGTTCGGCCAGCTAATCCCCTATCCACGAGGTTTTAAACTATGCTGCTGCTACATTTTAGAAAACACCATACGTATCTTTAGGTACTACTATTTGTGTTGCTTTCGACAATTTTTGGTTTTAATCTGTAGTTTGGAGTCGATGTAGTTTCTCCTGAGTCTTGTACTTTTTATGGAAAATGATGATTGTTTTACGCTTTTGTATTGTGTCAAAGTAGTAGCTGAAGTTGGTGTTCTCTTTGGTTTCTCATTTTACAAATTACATGTGGTGGAGAAGGAACTGGAATGATAGTCATATCTGCACTTTCCAAGTTTCTTCAATCCTTGACCTTAAAGATGAGCAATACTCTCTCTCTCGTAACTAGGGGGGGTGGAAACAATTTCCACAGGTAAAGAAAGAGAACAAAATTGGCTCAGGTATCAATGGTGCAGGGAAGATATTCTCGATTATGTAATAAAGAGCAAGTACTTGATGTTAATAGAAGTATTTGTACTTATGTGTTGTTTTCGGGTATTTGTAGTCTTTTTTCTCTTTCTTTTCATTCTGTTGAACTATTGTTCAATGAAAAACTGTAGAGTTTTTTTGTTCTCTTTGAAATGTTAAAAGAGAAAGGGATGGTTCGAAAAGCTTGTAATAATATCATCTTCAAGATTTGTTAGTGTCAAGGTTAGGGATTGGTCTAATGGCCATCGTCCCATCCCCTCCTGCCTGACTGAAAAAAAAACAAAGATTTGTTAGTGTCAGCATTTTTGTCAATCAACAATTTTGACAAAGCTTAACATAAGCTTACAATTTGGAACCTGGAAACTCAAAATGTTTAGATCATCGGTAGGGCAGGCTCACATCGCCAAAAAAAACTATTAAGTAGACAAAGTGAACACAATTATTCTAATATCTATCAGTAAATCACGACATCCAATCTGATAATCAACACATTGGATTAGTAGGATTCAGTTGTCCACTTGTAATTTTTTTATTAGAAGGTGACATTAGGGCGATAACGTGGTGTCTCCGTTAAATTGAATATTTTTTCAACGAAATGGGGCGAAAATTTGAGGATTTATCATAACCGCTGAATCTCAACTGAAAAGAGTAAAAACCGGGGTTAAATTTTACAGAGGAATCTAGCTCCTAAACAATGGCAAATTATTCTCTCTCTCTCTCTCTCTCTCTCTCTCTCAAGTTCTTGAAAAAACAGAAGGAAATCGCAGGCCATTGGAAGACCTTGCGACTCAATATCACCCAACATAGCGTAGTACGAATTTTCTGGTAATTCTGCATTCATTTTTCACCATTTTTTTCTGATTTTATGGCGTTTAATTTCCACATTAACATGAACATGAAGGTGCCCCCTCCTCTCCCCACCTCCCTCCCTATCTCTATCTACATGCGTTTTAAGGTTGGCATTGCATTAGTGATATGTACATTTATCAAGCACAAGGAAAACCGTTATGTTGATACAGGTCAAAGATATTTTCAATGCACAAGACTCTCGTTTATTGCGGGATCTAAGAGAACATAAAGTTTGTTCTTAGACATAGCCAGGAGGGGATTATAATGTCAAAACTACATCAAAGGTCTTTATATATATTTCTCCTGCTTGTTTAAATTTAAGAAATTCGAGACACGTTGTTGCCTTTATCCTACAAATCATGATTGAAAAAGCAGAAAAATATGTTCTTCAATTTATTGAATACATCTCATATGATCATATTGCTGATATCATGAAGAGCATTCCATTGTTACTGCATTGGCTTAATGATCTTATTTTTTAATGTTTTTATCTAATTTCGGTAGAAACATCCTTTGTAAATTCTTGATAACTACGTGGTAGTCAAGAACCCCTAAACGGATACGATTTAAACCACCAAATTGGGTGGTGGCAAGAACAACTATAAAAAAATATTTCAAATACAATGTTTTTTTGCCATGCTATGATACCTTTGCATGCTCCTTTTCTGGTTCTCTGTTTTCTGGTCTATTTTATGTCGTTTTCCCTTCTTTTTTTTTGGCTAGTTTGGAAGCCTACATTGGAATATTTTTGACATATCCAAAGAAATCCGTTTCTTCCACACACACATGGTCAAATATTTTGGTTTTCATTGAAACAAAAACGAATTAATGATTGAATATAGAAAACCCTTTTTTGAGGTGTTTCAATTAATGTTTTAGAAACAATTTCCAATTTTTTTTTTCTACATATTCATTTTTATTTTTGAAATGTTTTCGTTTTCGAGTTCCGAGACTGTCTTGGTCTTTGCATGCAAGAGGTTTAGTGACAACTCTAAAAACACCTCAAGTGCTAATGCAATTTCAATTACCTTTACTTATGCTTTATTAGTCTCTGTAGAGCCACAACAGGATGGCTGAGCAACCAAGGATGGGTGAACAGCCCGAGAAGCCAAAGATAATTGCGTCACAGATATGTCTAGAGACAGTGAAGAAATCATCAGGGTTACCATCCTCAATGCCCTCATCACCAATCGCCCTGACGAAAACAACAAGTGTGAGGTACAATTGCCTATGCTCACCAACTACACATGCTGGTTCTTTCAGGTGTCGTTACCACCGGAGCGCTAGTCTCACCCGCTCTAGCATCTCTGTCGGCTCTAAACTCTCCGAGCTTGCTGGAAAATCACCAGGGAGTCCACTGCATGCTCATTGCTGGATGGAGCCTAAGTACATGTTCTGCTAACCTATTTCTGCTATTAATGTGAGAGGTCTTTCCAAACTTGCTTATTAAGAGACTTGGTGGATTGTTATTCATTCGTGGTGGTGTATTTTATTGATCATGGCTATGCAGATATTCTGGTATCTCGTGGATCTTATCATATCGCTAATAGACAGATAACATTATGTTTATACTCGTCAATACGATGCTGTGTGTGTGTGTGTGCCATCACACATTGCGTCGTAACCAGACCATATATTAGTGGTATCGTAATCAAATCACACACACATTGTGTCACAACCTACTAATACTGTGTAAAAGATGCTGTCAAGCAACATTATTAGATATCTTGTGCAGCAAAGCATTCACAATCAAATATTTACAATACAATTCTGGTCACACAGACCCGTCACTACAAGAGGACGCGAAATACTAGCACATAGCCGTAAGTATCAACCTTTGCCAAGCTGAAGCATGCATTCATGTAGATTTCCTGTACACTAAACTTCATCGTTGGACCATTGCTCGTAAACTGCTCACATCGGACAACCACTACCGTCCTCTTCTTGAGGCATCATGCAATTCCTGCAAAGAGGGCATGTGACATTCCAATACTTCAACCACTTCTCCAGACAAGAGTTATGGAAAACATGGCCGCAAGACAGGTGGTTTATCTCAGCATCGGGTTTGAACTCTGTCAAGCAGACCGAGCACTCTTGCTCAGGCCGGTTGGTGCAACCAGAAACTGTATCAAACCGAACTGCTGGGGTCCTGCTCCTGAACTCCTCCATGTAGGACTCTGAGGGGCATCTACGGCATTCAATGGAGTTTGAGGTGCTGTCGATGGAATGTTCTTCCCAGGAAGCAATCCGGATGCCAACCACATGAAGGATTGACCGGACTATCTCCTTTACAATGGAGATGGAAATGGCCGTATTGGCCAGAATTACACATAGCACGCCCGCATCAGCTGGAGTTGAATAAGGTGAGAGACCCATATTTACACTGGAACCTAATTAGAGGAATGAGATAAGAAGCAGAAGAAAAGTGCAAGAATATAAGTCATTGCGCGAATGAAGACAAAAAAATTAGCTTGGCATCTCTGCCATAAGACACATTTGAAAACCAAGAAGAATCTTTCTGTGTATAATCTTGCATAATCTCGAATGTTATCAATTCTGGTACGTAAACCAAATAATACAATACGTCAATCCTTTTGGAAGCTTGTACACGAAAATTGTATTCATCGATACTTTCTGAAACAGCCAGTTTTTGCAATCAACGTGAAGACAAATACTCTTTTCATGCCATTTTGAGTAAAATTTCCAGACAATGCACAGCTAAGAACCGGACTAGAAGAAAAGATATCTGGAAAGAAAATCGAAGGCTTAGCTAACAGCTCTTTTAGTCCCAATCTAACTGAAACTCTATGACACTTTTTCAAAAACCATTTAGCTGCTGGTTTGACCATATTCCATACTGATGAGTTAGTTAGATTTAAAACAGAGTTAGCACATTGAGCTTAAACCTTTACAAATTCACTCAGAACTCCCTGAAAATATTCTTCACAAATGAAAGAATAATAGTAAAGTTTTGTTGTCTCTTAAGCTTAAAAACACAAACTAGACGCACATAAAATTACCTTGTCACTCAAAGTTCGAGTCCTGCAATTAAGCTAAGTAATGGCAGCAATATTCTCTATAAAAGCTCAGTGTCAACACAATCAATCTGCCAAAAAAAATACACAACAATCAGTCCAGAAAGGAAAAAAGAATAGGTTCTTGTCTATCATTTTTGGAGATAAACTCTTGGTCAGTTCCAGTAGGTCCCCCAACTCACCCACCCAACTGGATAGATGATGATATGGTTTAGGATGGAGTTTGAGAGAATAGCCTTTTGAGTCATGGCAGGGTGGGTTCTCCCACCATCTGAATAGACCAGGCCTAGCTAGAAAAAACATGGTGACAACAAAAGAAATCTTATGCAATTGTGGAAATTCAACTTATTCACACATTTTATCCATGCAATTAAAGCTAAAACCCCCAACCATTTGGCCAAACAAAATCAATCAAAACCAACTAATTCATAAAAGTTCAACGAACAATTTTCATAAATTGACACAATCAGAACACACTGTTGCCTAAAAAACACAAAAACCTGAAAGACCCAGCATAGAAGCATTTGATATACGAAGATCCAACAAAAAAAAAATCAAGTGAAAGTGCCCAAAATGATCAGATTAAGAAGATCAGAAGCAAATTCAGAACAAAGAACTGAAATTTAGAATGATTTCTTCAAAATCTACCAAAACCCCCACAAGATACAGCTTTAGAAACAACATAAATCAATGGAACATCAAAGATTAAGAATTGAAATCATGTTCCTTTGCCATTAAATATATTCAGACTCACAAACAAGAACAGATGCTTATAAAACAAAGAAAAAAAAACACACACACCCATAGAGAGAGAGTTACAGGTTGAGCTTTAAAGTTGAAAGCTTCAAGCGATAAACTAATGTCTAACTGTATAAAGAAATGGGTTGGGACTGAGATTTTGGAAGAGGAAGAGTTTCATAGGATGCCAAGGTAAGAAAGAGATTGGGGGGGTAGCGGTGGTGGTCGTAGTGGGTGGGTTATGTCGGCCGCTTACTACAATTTATAGAGAAGACACAAGTCCCCTGTCCCTACCACCATAATTATGAGTTAACTCAACCCATGTTCCCACTTCATTATTATCGGTCTTTGCCCTTTTTTTACCCAACCCATGTTTCACTTCACCACTGTTAATATGTTCTTTGTCTTTTCACTTCCATATCATCTCCATAGAAGTCAAGGCTAATTCATATCAACTACCATAGAAAATAAAAGTTTTTCTTAATTGCAATCAACAATATCAAAGTAATGTCTGAATAAATTACAGGTTCGATAATATAACAAAAATAAAAAGTACAACTCTCACCCAGAGAGACACGTGAGAGATCTATTTTTATTTAAATGAATTACGTTTAGAATTTTTAAAGTTTGTCACTTAATTATTTAGACCGTCTGACATTTAAAATATTACACACAGACTTTTTAAGATTTGTATGCGCCTAATATTTATATCTCTGTAAATATATTAATTAATAAATTACACTTAGACTCTCTTGAAGTTTATAGATATACAATACTTAGACTCCTTAAGAAAAATACTCTAATCAAAGATAGAATATCACATATTTTAAATTTTACAACTAAAATTTTTATTCTATTGTATCATTATTGAAATAAAATTAAAAATAAAAATTTAATTTTTTCTTAAAAAATTGTAATTAATATATAATTATATTATCTAATAGAATAAAACTGAAAAATTCAATAAAGAGTTTAAGTCATTCATAATAGAACATAAATATTTCATCCAAAATTTATGTTTTATTATATAATTTATTGAAAGAAAATAAAAAATAAAAAATTAGTTTTTTTAAAAAAAAATCATAATTAGGTTATAATTATACTATCTATTAGAATAAAAAAAAATTAAATAAGATGTCAAACTGTAATGAACATAATATCTTTTTAGCTTTAATTGGGGTAATTTGATATTTTAATAATGTCGTTTAGACGACCAAATTAAATTTCAATAGACAATATAATTGTATACTAATTACGATTTTTTAAGAAAAAATTGAATTTTTATTTTTGATTTTATTTCAATAAAAGATAAACAGAACATGAATTTTAATCATAAAATTTAAAATATTTGATATTTTATCTTTGATTGAAGTATTTTTGATCTAATTATAACATTTTAAACTTAAAAAGTCTAAATAATATATGTTTACAAATTTCAAAGGGTCTGGTTGTAATTTATTAACAGATATATTTACAATAGGGGTTTAAGTGTTACGTGCATGCAAACTTTAAGGGATCTATGTGTAATATTTTAAATGTCAGGAAATTTGAGTAATTAAATGACAAACCTCAGAAAGTGTAAGCGTAATTCTTATTTTTGATAGGAAATGACTCTTTAATAACCTACCTAAGAGTATTAAGAGTGGCCAATTGTACTGTCTGATTATGAAAAAAAATGAATTGTGTTATTTGTAAGTATTTTGTAATTAATTTCAGAACATAAAGTGAAATTCTATTTAATATTCTTTTCTTATTAGATTATGAATTTAAGTGGGATTTATTTTGTATAAGTGTATCGCTCACTAATAAATAGTAAATGATCTACCAAAATAGAAAATAAAAAAGTGTTAGAATGGATCTAAATCAATTAAAACCCATTCAAATTTATTTATTAATAAAACAAACTGACCATTCAAGTTTCATTCCAAAATTCATTTAATAAATCTAAGCTCAGAAATCGACAATTTTTTTGAAAAAAGACTTGAACGATTGAAATTTCGCTTGATTTCACATCAATGTCAAACTCTTTTAGAAATGAATGAATTCAAATCCAAACAATCTAATATTCCATTCTATTCCATTTCATTCCATTCAATTTGGTTCGATTACAATCATAACTCGCAGGTTTACGGATGTGTGCCCACTTATATTGGCATTATTGTTTGAACTCAAAATTCATTCTCATTGATTTGAACCATATCAATCATGGAGGCTAGGAGGACCCCAAACACTCTCAGACGTATCTATCTCCAGAAGGAGCATTCATGCAAAGTCATGTGTAGGGGTGGCCTTTCATAGGACCCCTCATCACTGCAATCTCTCCAAGTGGCAAGCCAGTTCAATTATGTAAGAATAGGACAACATATGTATGATTGAACTAGTCTTGTCCTATTATTCTGGATGAGCTTTGCTTCCTCGAAATTTCACAGGCATTGGAGGACAAAAGAAGATGGCAGTGTAGAGTGCCTCTTTAGCTGCTTTAAACAAATCTAGAAGACACACCTGTGTAATTGTAGCCAAATTTTGTATGCATATAAGCATTTTGTCATTGGATTTTGTTATTAACTAGAGACTTCTGCACATAGTTATTTGTGTGCGTTTTTGAAAAAGAATGAAATAAATAGATAGGGGGAGAAAAAGATGTGAATAGAGATTAAGGGAGAAAAAGATGTGAATGCAGGGACCAACAAATGGCCAAAAGATTTCTCAAGTAGGTGCAAGTGTAAATGTAAATGTTCTCACACCAACCAAATGCCTATCTCAGACCAAGTAGAAGTATGCCACGCAAGGCCAAGTGATCCAGGTATTTACAGTACATTACTCGCGCAAGCAAGGCTGCACTGTGGGTTGTCGCACCTAACTCTGTATGAGGGTCAACATTGTACATGATAGTTGTGCCTACGTGCAACTGCCTCAACTACAAATATACAGATGGCCTCTTACTGTGAATTTCAAATATTAATTAGATAGATGTGACACTTTCTCGGATATAACCTAGACTTGGTTATTGAGGAAGGGTGCAATCTTCGAGGTAAGGGGAACACCAACGAAAAATGGTCGCAACTTGCCACTGTGGGAGCATGACTATGACTATTGTCAATGTGACCAATCATAGATACTCATATAATTTCGGTCCTTCAACTACCAATCCACATGTCCACCTGTATATTAATTTGGACCGTTAACCTTTTGTATCTTAGAAATCCTTCTAGATCCCAGTCAAACACAACTCAATGGACAGCGAGTCATACACTGAGAGCCCAGCTTGATCAAACTAAATCTTCAAGACCCTGTCGGAGGTTAAAGTTGACAATTATACTCGTTTGCCCCGATTGCTCAATTCTCCCCCGAGAAGGGCCATATTGCCCTATCCCTATGCGGGTACCCCCTCCTCTTAGTTCATTGGGTTAGTTGGGCAATGGTATACCACTGATTGACTTTATCTTAGTGGGCATTCAATAGGTTGCAGATTTTCTCCAAGAGCCCCACCTCGAGGATTATTTGAGGATGCAAACTCTGTTGCTATTAGTCATGCATTGCCTAACAATACTTATATCATTATCGAGCAGATGGTTTTATTAGTCCTTGACAATGGCTTTTTTGGGAAGAGCTTAATAAGATTATCCATAATGAGTATGCCATATTTGAGTTTCATTCATTGAAATAATCATAATAGATGAGCCTTGATTCTCGAATTAGTATGCCCCACTCGTTACGTTTGATTGATGGTAATGAAACATAAAAATTTAATGTTTGGAATGTAATAATAAAAATTCATTCCCATTATCATGAAATGCCTAATCCCATCAAAGTAGAATTAATCATTATTAAATATTTGGTGGTATATCTCATTCTCAAGTACCATCACTAATCGTCATCTCCACTACTACTATCACCATCACTCCACCTCCACTCAAGGTTGGATTGGGTCGGGTCCAGGTTCAAGTTGGGTTCGAGTATGGGGATTGGGTCTGGTCCATTATAAGGTCCTGAGTTGGGTTGGGTCGAGATTTGGGTCTAGGCCCGAATTGAGTTTAGGTCTGGTCTTGATTGGTGGATTCTCTAAATATTTAAAGAAAATTTTAATTATATTCTAGCACTTAATTCTAGTTGTTACCAAACATTGGAATGGTAATGTACATTTCATTCCTATGTTCATTTCATTTCAACCTTCATTCCATTCCCATGTAAAAACATTATTGGTCTCGGTTGGTTGTCGTATTAGAAGTGAATGAGTTAGATAAAATAATCCGGTCTAATACAATACAAAAGGACAAAAGACAAGACTAAATAGAGTATTAGAATAATACATAATTTTATTTAGTGTTTGGTAATACACAACATAAACGTTGGATAATAATTATTTAATCAAATCTGTTAAAGAATTATTTTGTCGTATTAATATTGAATTGACAAAAATACCCTCAATCAGTATTTGTTACATTGATGACAATTTAATTTTATCAGTTGTGGGGTTATAATGGTAAATGTGTAAAACAATACGTTTAAATTAGATTATAATACCACATCTTTTAGTGGTATTAAAATACCTTCATAATACAAGTCTAATGTATAAAAAATATACGATAAATATACGATCAATATACGTTTTTGATATTAATATTATATCAAATTTGCTTACTAAACAAAGTATTTGACCTGATTAAATAAAAAATAGTACAATCTAATATTTAATCTCCTCATAATACGTTTACCAAATGAGCCTAACAAAGGCATGCATATCTATGTTTAAATCATAAATGCCTTTAGGATTTACTGTTTTATCAAAGAGTAATGCTACACTCACCAAATTTTTTAACAACATTTGAAGTTTAAATGACGTGACAGTTGATTATTTGAAGTTTTTATTGGGCCCAAATGATATGACATTAATCAAAAAAACCCAAGTCAACTGCTAGGTCATTTAGGCTCTAAATTTGGTCCCAAAATTTAGTCAGTCTAGCATCACTGTTGATAAAAATCAAAGCCAATAAATAAATTCGTATATAAAATTAAATAAATCTTTACATCCTAAGCAAGAGTAGTTGTGGGGTCTCCCACTAGGCAAGTGCCGATCGACACATAACAAGGAAAGGCGAGTGTCGACTAGTAGCCTCCAAGGCATCCAAGTGCCAAGAGACAGGCACCTAACCATGGCCCTAGGAGGTACTTCGCTATCATCTTTTGCTTGACCACCTCTACTACATGAGTCCTACTCGGCTAAGGAAAAGGACATAGGAGCAAGAGTTCTACTACAATACTACTCTGAATATCTAG